CCCCCCCCCCCCCCCCCCGCAAAGAGGTGAGGTGCACTGACCGAAGCAGGAGCTGGCTCAGTTTTATGGAGGAAATTTTCTTTTTGATTTATTTGTCATAAGTGGAAAGCTTCTTTTTTCCCCCTCTTGAAACGACTGCATGTCCCTGGGTAGATCCTGGACATCTTGCTAACAAATAAGGCTGAACACGGAAGAAGAGAACCTCCCCTTTCTTCTGAAATTCCTTGCCCAGAGCAGTGGGGTTAGCACTTCAGAACCTGTGGTGAGCGGTGTTCGTAGTGAAGCAATACATTGGATCTTAGCTGAAAAGCTGAGAAGTGACCCCCATGAACACACACACACACACACACACACACACACACACACACACACTGGACTTAGGGGTGTATGCCTGGAATCCCAGAACTTGGGAGGCTGAAACAAAGTAATTGTCATAAATTCAAAGCCAGCCTGGGCTACATCGTGAGTACCAGGTTAGCCAAGACAAGATCCTGTCTCAAAATAACCATTAAAAAAAAAGTATTATACTGCCTGTCCCTCTCCTCATTTCCCCAGCGCCTCCCCTGTGGGCTGCCCCTTTCCTCTCCTCCCTGACTCTCCTGCTCTAACTCCCCAAAGCTTTACAGCCGGACCCCGAGAACCACGCTGCTCCGGGGATGGACCACGGTGACCACTTACTGCATCAAGTGTGCCCTTGCTAAAACACCAGAACAGAGAAAACAAAGTTTGGAAACCCACGGCCTGATGAGTTATCCCCAGTGCTCCCCTGGCACTGAAGATGGCCCCTGTGTGCTCTGGCTTGGCCTCTCTAGGACTTGGCCTCCTGCTCATCTGCAGTGGTATCCTCTTCTCTTTGGACCGTCGCTGGAGTTTGGTTGTTAAACAAGCATCTTGTCAGTTTCTTGCCTTTCCTCTGTCAAGTCCACCTGGTTGGTACCTGACACCTCGGCTCAGGTCTCCATTCTGACTCTGTGTACCCACACGGGCTGGCTGGAGGGGGTCAGGCCAGGGGCCCTGCAGGAACCTGCCGCCTTAGGGAGCGTCTCCTTTACACTGGGGTGTGCTAGTTACTTCTTTGTGGCCGTGATACAATGACCATAACCAAAACCAACTTATGGAGGAGAGACTTTATTTTGGATTATGGTTCCAGGGAGATACGGGTCCATGATGGCCTGGAGGTGTGACAACAAGTGGCAGGGACAGAAAGCCAGGAAGGAACTCACGTCTTCAACCACACACACACACACACACACACACACACACACACACACACACACACACACAC